TTGTATAGCGCTTTATACAATACTGGTTGTGTCAAAGCAGCTTTTGACCTTTTGACCAATTGACCTTAGTCAGTTTTTGACAGGAATGAAAACGGGGCTGTGAGGAATAGAAGTACTGTGCGTTCAATGGGTTGTACTGTTGTTTAATAACATACTGATGGTTCAGCTGATGAAACATATTTCCAAAAAAAAAAATTTTTTTTAAATCAGTAGACAGAACTCCATAAAACAGTTCTGAAAGTTGTGAGAATTACATGATCTTGGACCTTTAGAGAGTGTGTGCAAAAATAAAGTAAAAACTAATATTGTTAGATATTAGTACAATTTAAAATACAGTAACTGTTTATTTTAATATATTTTAAGATATTGTGATATATTTTAAAATCAAATTTATGGCAAAGCTGAATAAAATAATGAATTTCTTTCCATTGTTACTTTAACAGTAACAATGTATATTGTAATTAATTTTGATAAGTCATCAGCAATCTATTGGTAATTGTGTAGTGAAGGATTTGTCGACAAGACCCGTTTTGATGTCTGTATACTTTAGACCCTATAGCTGCTAAATTTCCTCTATGTCTTAACGTCTATACAGGTTTAGAAGTCATATGCCAGGTCTTAGTCAAAACTGAATGGCTATGATTCATAATCCAGAAGTCTGGAAATATGAATAGTCACCTTCAATTTAAGCCAAGAGAGTTGTCGTCAAGGCTTGCCTAAAAATAGATTTCTTGTGTATTTTTTAAATCACACAGGAGCAAGTCTCAGAGGTATGTTGTACTATTAGGGCTTCTAAAACTTTAAAATAACACAAGAAAAATCAAAACAAGAAGTACTAACATGACTTTATAATCTTTCATTACTCATGTCCTTTACCAAATTGAGTCAACAAATCACTTGCAGCCAAAAGTAGCGCCACAGCGGTGATATCATTGCTCACTCAGGTGTCCTAAAAGCAGTTTTTAACCGCATTCTGCTGGCTGTGTGGTTAGAGGAAGTGGCGGATTGGCCAAGGTACTTTTTATATGAATCACAAACCATTTTTGACTGGACAGAGCACTATAAAGATCCCAGTCAGACTGAGCAGAACATCATCCGGTCAACATGGAGCTCACAGCTGTGGTATTGCTGGTGATTGCTGCATACACTTTAGCAAAACCAATTGCAACTGAAGAGAAAGACAAATTGTTATTAGCAGATGTAGGAAGAGTATTTATTTTTTTCTTAAAAAATGTTTTTAAAATGATAAAAGATAACTGATTTTTAATGTTCATGTTTTTAAATATTTCATTTGTATTTTGTAGAAATATCTTCGAAGGTACTATGCCATGCCAGCTGGTCTCCAGGGAGAAGGAAAAGCATCTGGTCTCATGCACCAGAAGATTCGAGAGATGCAAGCGTTTTTCAGGTTGGAAGTGACAGGAAAGCCGGACGACAGCACCTTGGAGGTGATGGAAATGGCTCGCTGTGGAGTTCCAGATGTGGCTGAATATAATCACTTTCCTCAAGACATCAAATGGAAAAACACAAATGTGACCTTCAGGTTTGTGTTTGTACATTAAAGAATTCAATACGGTAAAAAGAGGCAGTTTTGTTTTCAAAATACGTCTTTTATTCACAGGATTCTGAACTACACTCCTGACATGAAGAATGCGGATGTGGACAAAGCCATTCGAAATGCTTTTAATGTCTGGAGCAAGGTGACTCCACTGAGGTTTAAGAAACTGTATGAGGGGAATGCTGATATCATGATCAGCTTTGGAGCAAAAGGTACCAG